CCCAGTCCCTCCCAGTTTACCCAGCAGCCCTTGCAGCAGGTAGAACAGGAGCCCGATGGCGCCATTGGGGACGTTCACGGCGCTGTCCCTGCCCAGCACCGGCTCCACCAGGCCCAGGCCACGCCCCCACCTGCAAAAAAATTAAAAAAAAGGGCGGGACACGCCCACAAAGCCAGGTAACCCTACCATATATGGGTATAATTAGGCTAAGCCACGCCCCTTTCACCTTATAGAACCGCAAACCACGCCCCATTTAGTCCATATATGGATGTAATTAGCATAAACACGCCCCTAGGCAAGCCACGCCCCCTCACGACTTCCCGCCATCGCTTCCCCCTGAATGCGCGCGCCCCCTAGCGGCGCGCCCCTCCCCTCACCCCCATTGGCCGCGCTTAAGCCCCGCCCACTTCCGGTTTTCCGTCCCGTTATTCCCCCGGTGTTTGGGGTTTTTTGTTTTGTTTTTTTTTTTTTACCGGGAGGAAAACACCCGAGTGCACGACACGGATGGCGCAAGGTCGCAGGCGGCTCGGTACGACGGGTCCCGAGCGGCTTCGTGCTCGACGTGCAGCGCGTACAGCGACAGCGCCGCGCCCGCCACGCACAGCGCCGTCCGCAACGCCAGCGCCGCCATTGCTCAACGCCCATTGGGCGGCGCCGCTGCCGCTCCCCTTTATTCTCCCCGCCCATTGGCCAGCAGCCTAAGGTCCCGCCTTATTTCCGGCTTGCGCGCGGGGCACCACGGGATGCGTAGTTCCGCGCCCTCCGCGCATGCGCGGTGAAGGGAAAGGCGCTGAGGGAAGGAGGAAGCGCGCGAATAAAAATGGCGGCAGCGGCGCCAAGATGGAGGCGGGGAATTGAGTGAGGGCTCGGGACTCGGCCCTGCCGGTTCGGAACCTCCTCCCCCTTCCCGGTACCGGTGAGGGGAAGGCCGGGACTCGGTGAGTGAGGCCCGGGGAGACTCGCGGGGGTGGCGGAGACCGGAGGGAATTTAGGAGGAGGGGTCGCGGTGACGTCACGGGACAAGATGGCGGCGGTCGTGAGGGGCGGTGGGGGGGGGGTCGGGAGAGGCCTCAAAAGTCGGGAAATGTTTGGGAATTGTGAAGGAGGAATTTTTAAAAAAATTCACTGGGAGCACTGGGATTTTTTCCTCATAATTTTCCCTTCATATCCTAAAAATTTCCTTTTTTTTTCTCTCATTTTTCCCTCCCCAATTTCCCCCATTTTTCCCCTGAATTTCCCTTTTTTTCCTCTCCCTCAAATGCCCAATTCCTTCCAAAAATCCTCAATTTTCCCCTTTTTAACCCTCAATTTTCCCCCTTTTTTAACCCAAATTTCCGCTCCAAATCCCCTTAAATCTTTTTCAATTTTCCCCTTCAAATCCTCAATTTCTCCCTTTTTTATCTCCCCAAATTCCCCTTT